GGGGGGGGTGTACTCATAGTCGTGCATGCCGTAGTCGTTTGACCATTGACCTCGCATCCCTACAAAGCCGGGACGGAGCACGCCGGGTTCTCACCGGACCAGGCTCTCACATCACCAAGCGCGAAGCGCCGTGAGGTATTTGGCGAGTCGCATGAAGGGTGAGCTGCATCCTGCTAAGGGTGTTCGGCATCTTGTGCTTACTTCCTTGCGTACGGATGACAGCTACGTATGACTTAATTTATTTTCTGGTGCTTTCACTTCCAGAGACAGTTGTAAGCACTGTGTAACTGCCTCGAGGAAGCTTGACCATTTTAACACAACGTGGTGCGATCATCCCCCGTTGCGCGGAGTGAGGTTTCTCCACCCCGCACAACATGATCTACTCGACCACCATTATGGTTACCGCCAAAAAAAAAAAACGACGTAAAAAAAAAACGGTAACCTGGTTGCCGAGTTCACGAAGTGAATTGGCTTGTTTTACAACGTCGTTGCCAAGCGACGAAAACCCAATCCCGATGGCAAACAACGAGTGGGGGGCTTGTTTTACAACGTCGTTGCCAAGCGACGAAAACCCAAACCCCGATGGCAAACACCGGGGGGGGCGGCGGGGGGGGAGGTACTCATAGTCGTGCATGCCGTAGTCGTTAGACCATTGACCTCGCATCCCTACAAAGCCGGGACGGAGCACGCCGGGTTCTCACCGGACCAGGCTCTCACATTACCAAGCGCGAAGCACCGTGAGGTATTCGGCGAGTCGCATGAAGGGTGAGCTGCATCCTGCTAAGGGTGTTCGGCATCTTGTGCTTACTTCCTTGCGTACGGATGACAGCTGCGTATGACTTAATTTATTTTCTGGTGCTTTCACTTTCAGAGACCGTTGTAAGCACTGTGTAACTGCCTCGAGGATGCTTGACCATTTTAACACAACATGGTGCGATCATCCCCCGTTGCGCGGAGTGAGGTTTCTCCACCCCGCACAACATGATCTACTCGACCACCATTATGGTTACCGCCAAAAAAAAAAACCGAGGTAAAAAAAACGGTAACCTGGTTGCCGAGTTCACGAAGTGAATTGGCTTCTTTCACAACGTCGTTGCCAAGCGAAGAAAACCCAACCCCGATGGCAAACACCGGGGGGGGTGGGGGGGTACTAATGATTTGCATGCCTTAGTTGTTAGACCGTTGACCATGAGTCCTCTCTAGAGGACGGAGCATCGCCAAATGTGGCTTGAAATAGGTGTGTGTGTGTAGTTTTGCTGGTGGTCTGCGTCGTCTGCCTTTTAGGTCGGCGTTGCTTGGTCTCGAGGCGATTTGACCGGTTATGTATATATATATATATGTTTTTGTTCTCGATGGCCGTCGTTCGTGGTTGTGCTCGGTTGGTTCTCGATTTTCATCGCCTTTGGACGAAGTATCGTCTTGCTTCGAACCCTGTGTTTTGAAGGTGGTGCATGCGACCACACAACACCGCCTCGTATCATCCCTTACCGTGCTATACCAGACAAATACCGACACCAACACGAAAACCAACATGACACCGTACGATCCATCGCCACCCCATCCCATCCCATCCCATCCCTTCCGTACAAATACCAATACCAACATGGAACCACCCCCCAGACGAACGCCGCCACTCCCGCTATCAACACCTGACCATACCATGCAAACACCAAAACCAATGCCAGCATCAAACCGAACGATGCGATACCAACCCGTGAACCCGTGCAATCTCATGCCATACCGCAAATTTCCATGCCATACCGCCTTACCACGACGCAGGGTGACAGCTACGAGGAGCTGGGAGTGACGATCGACGACCGCAATGACGACGAGAGCGAGCGCAAGATCGGGATACAGTACTCCACTCCCCCTGGTAGGTCCAACACCCCCTTCGCTGTCATTCGTTTGAGAAGAGAGCGCGAAGTGGTGTAGCACGTCGAGTAGCTTGCGGGAGCTGCAGGACGTGCGAAGAGACAGCAGTGGCCGCGCAACGTAGGAGGCGGCAGAATAGCAAAAAAGGGAGGACAGGACACACGTCCGCAGGCAGTGGAGGAGAGACCGAAACAGACAGAAAGGAGTTCGTTCGTTCATGTCTTGTTAGCTCTGTTATAGTCTATTTGGGTATGCACAGAGTTGGTCGTGTCGAGAGTCGCGAGCAAGATGATTGGGATGTAGAGGGGAGTGTTCGATGCCCCCTCCCCGGCCAGCTTGCAAGGCGGACGGACAAGTTGGACACGAACTTTCACCAGCCAGGTCTGATTGGGTACGCACAGAGTTAGTTGTGTTGAGAGTCGTGAGCAGGAATATCGGGATGTGCATATGAGTGAGTGTTCGATGTCCCCCGCCCCCCCCCCCCCCCCGGGCCCCTTTGTTTGGGGAAGGGAAAATTTGAAACCAATTTTCCCCCCCCCGGGGAAAATTTTTGGGGGGGGGTGCTTTATGTTTCCGAAAAGTTTTCAAAAAATTTGAAAAGACCTTTTTGGGGGGGCCAATTTAACGTCCCCCAGGGTTTTAAAAGGGAACCCTGGCCCCAAAAACAAACCCGGGGCCGGGCCCCAAACCCCCCCCCCAAAAAAAAAAAGGACAAAGGGGGCCAATTTGGAAAAAGAAAGGAAGAAAAAGGCAAGGATCCCCCGAAAAAGAACAAACGTTGTTTGGGAAAAAAAGGGGGGGGGCCCAAAAGCCTAAAAAATTTCCGGGACCGGGGGATTTTCCTAAAAAAAACCCCCAACCCCAAGAAAAAAAAGGGTTTTTAGGGCTCCCCCCCCCCCCCCCCCCCCCCCCCCAAATTTGGGTTTTTTTTTTGCCGA